ATTTGCTCTCCTTCAGTCTGCTGTGAGAAGCAGCCCATGCTTGGTGCTTGGCCTAACCAAATCCAACCCTTCTAAAAGTCAGAAGTCCTCCTTTATAAGAACTGTGGAGGAAAACCCCCTTCAGTGCATTGGTGTACTGGTGCACAGTGCACTACTGTATTTCCTGCCCCTACATTCTAGTGCTCCAGCCAGTTCCCTTTCTCTTATCTTGTGTTTCTCCCATGTCTTCCAGGGACAGCCTGCTCTCCACAGAACACTGTCTGGCCCATTCTTGCTTGCCCTTAAGTTTTAGTGGGGTGAAAATGACAGCTAAATAAGCTGAGCAAACACTAAACAGCTCATCTGCTTGTGGCTGGAACCACAACCCGTCATTCATATTTGCAGGTATCACTGTGACACCAGTCACACCTTGCCACAGTTGTACTTCCTTCCATTCTCATTAAAAGCAGGTACTGACCATGGTGTGAGCAGCAAGCTGCCTGCTGACCCTGCTGAAACATGTTATTTCAGCCAGGGGTAGAAATATGTTCCTGTTTTTGAAAGCCTCACTTTGCTGCAATGTGATGAGCCGTCAGTAAAAGCTAGAAAAACCTCATCCTGAGCATTTTAACTTGGTTTGCTTCCTAGAGATAGATAAATGAGTGCAGACACATGCTACTGTGCTCAGGGAACCACAGGGAGAGCAGTCTGATCTGCTGCAAAAGCTCAAGGTCAGATTTCGACCCCAACAGGAAAAGGATGTCACTGAGGTAGCAGTGAATCCCTCTGACTAGCTGAGACGACTTCTATCACAGATGTACAAAAAAATGGTAAGCCAGATGGGTGGAGAGACCTCCAGAGAGCCTGCAGAGATGCCACAGGCACCTTCATTTCAGAGCTTTTATGATAGCTCGTAGTGCACAGGGAGGAAGCAGAACTGTGCAGCTCTGCACCAAGGCTGTGTAGGCACTGAGAAAGCAGAGTTTGAATGTAGCTGGCCTGGAGTCAGTGAGAGGGGTGATCCTTTTCTCTGCTTTGACACCACTTACTTAGAACACATCACCATAATGCCATCCTTCTCTGTTGTCAGTCTTTGGAGAGAGCAGCTGCTGAATGCAGCCTTTGAAGAAGCAGTGCCTCGCTTATCTCATCTCTCACCTCTCTGCACAGCCTCTATTTCAGGCACGTGGCACTGCTTCCAGGAACAAGGAATCGTCTGCTGCAGGCCTTGGTGGCCACAGGTGCTGCCGTGGCTGGGGGGAAGCCGAGGGTCAGGTCGGAACACAGATGAGACAGGCTGCAAAGAAAGAAGCCCAAGCGGATGGTGCTTGGTGTGTGATGCTGCGGCTTCATCCCAGAGCACTGAGCTCAGCGACTGGGATGGCAGCAGGGGCTGTCAGCAGAGAGCAGCTGGGTGGGAGATGTGTGGCAACTGTCCTGTCCTGCAAATGAGGACAAACGGCGAGGAACAAGCTGGTGTCTCATATATACAACATGTAAGCTCCCAGTGCTGGCCCAGGTTCACTGAACGCCAGACCAAAGGCTATAGGTGTATCTCACAGCCACCTGGCTTGTCTCCCCTCTATTCAGGTCAACACAGCTTTGCCAAATCGGGACTGTTTGTCTCATTAACCCTACCACAGTTGCTACCTAACAGAGATGGCAACAAGATCCAGTGACTATAGGGCATAAAGGGAAGTTGGGAGAACTGGTTTGCGTTCCCATCTCTGCTACTGATTTGCTGCACATCCTTGAGCAGGTAATTAAGTTCAATATGCCTCAGCTTTCCCCACTTTAGAGCTGTGATAATTATGTTTATCTCCCTTTGTGAAGAACAAGGGCTTGGCGACATTTGGATAAAAGCCCTCAAAGAGCCAAGTGCTGTTGAAGTTAGCTGTAATAACCACGGCCCTCCTTGAATTTGTAAAAGTTGTCCTGTTCCAGCGACTGCTTCATAGATGAGGCATTAAAAACAGGAGTGTAATTACGGAGTGACTCCATATCCTGCTGCAGGCTCCTTGCATTGCATTCATTGGGCTAACCCCAGCTCACCTAATGCCTGCTGGTTGCCTTGCACAGGGAGATGTTGGTTTTGCAATGACATGACTGTCGCTGCAAAGCAACCGTGTTTTTGTCAGTCTGCTGCTGATTAAAGAGCACTGTAACAGCTTTTAACTTCTGAAATAACAGTGCAAAGCACTAAGTTACAGGGAATTCTGGCATTGCATAAATGACCCTTTTTCAGAGCAAGGTAAAAAAAAAAAATAACCTATTGCTCTTCAAAGACGTTTGGTCCCTGGATTTCTCTTTAGCAGCATAAATTTTGGGAGCTCTACAAAGGAAATAGCTCGAGTGATACTGATATTTACAGTGATGAGCCTCTCTAAGTTTCACTTACAGGACCAGTAGGGAAATCCTACCCCTTACACTATGTATGAGCTCATTTCACAGGCAGCAAGGACCATGCTTCATTTTCTATGCCAGCTCCTGAAAGCTTACCAAGACAGAGGCAGAACTCACTGCTTTTGCTGCTGATTGATATTAACGTGTGAGCAAGCTATAACCTCTATATCAACAACACCTGAACCTATGGTAATAAGTTAAACAATGCCAGGGAACAACCTTGAGCCCTGGGAGCAGATCTATACTGTTATATTCTGTAGGAAAGTGCCTGGCCTGTTTTGACCCAGGGCAGCCAGCAGCTCCCAGGCCAAGCCTAGGTTAACAGCAGGAGTCAGCACAGGGCACAGGCTGCCCTCAAAGCAGATTTTGCATGTATTCTCTGTATGGGAAGCAGAGAGAGATTTACCACGTGTGCAAAATCCCAGTGGGGCTGCAGGATGGGACCTACATCTCCATCACATTTTTAGACTCAAAGAAAGGAGGCACACGGCAGAAAGGGTTAATGGCACAGGTCAGTTGTGTCTTGTTCCAGAAACAGGGAGTGACTTAAAAGCCCCAAAAGAAGAGGGAAGTGTCTGCATTTGCAAATGTGTGCAGGTCTCTCCGGCTGTGAGTGCATACATGCACATTCAGGGGGAAAAACCTCCCAAGAGAATCACAGAATATCCACCACTGGATTACAAGGAAAAGAGATGCCGAGATCTTTGAATGAATTACTTTCAGTGAATCACTGTCGCAGCTTAAAGCCATACCAGCATTTCCAGAAAAACTTTCAGTTATGTAAACAAATGTAAAGAAAACAAACAAACAGCCAAGGACATTTGAAGATAAAAGGCTTGAGATAATAAGATGAAAAACGTTTGTAAAGATGTAGAATCTGCGCTTCTACAGAACTTCCACATTCATAGCTGAGTTTCTATACAGTACTTCAGCTCCAAGCTGGTGGACTCAGTTTAAGCCTGTGGAGCAGATAATCCTGCCATGCCCCACCTCATTGTGCTGCCTTTTGCTCAACAAAGCACACAGATACTTCTACAGGTGATGCCATGTCGGGGCACTGGTAAGCATGCCAGAGGGATTCTCCCTGCTGAAAGCAATCCTTATTTGCTACTGCACTATTACTATTGTAACGCTGCACGTACATTAACGCCAGCCAGAATAATAAACAAAAAAATGCATTGTCTTCCCTATGAAGTTTTCCCCTAACAAACGTTTATTCAGACCCACTCTGAATGTTGAAAATATTAAAGGGTCTTTGAGAGGAGTTCACACGCTTAGATACAGTCGAAACAGAGGAGGGGAAAAGGAAAAGCCTGTGCAATTACAGATACGGGCTGATGCATTTCAAGACAAACATTTCAGCCTGAGAAGCTCCTGCACAGATCACTGGCTGCCAGAGGGGCCGTCTGCCAAAACTCCTCTGAAATTCAGCTGAGGTTGTAGGCAACCAGTAAGAAAATGTCTCACATGGCAGCGCAAACCTCTGTTATCCCAACACAAAACGAAGGCGGGATGCAAATGAAAGCCTTGCGTAGCCAGCTGGAAATGAACCCTCGCCCCCTGAGCCTGGATGCAATCCACTGAAGTGTGAGACAGGAGGGGACAGAAGTACGCTCATTCTTGAGCTTATGCATAGTGAAAATCTTGCTCGCAAGTTCTGAAACTGTTGCAACCATACTGAAGATCTGGCTGAGTTACATAAGGCTTCTGCCACGTCAGAACTGATGGAGCAGGACCTGACGGTGCCTCTGGCTGCAAAGCCAGGGCTTTAAATACTGGCTCTGCTGCTGGCATCCCAGGAAACCCTGGTGATGTCAGCTGGTCTGTTTCAAGGCTGTAAAACTAAACTGAGTGCTTCCTGTCCCCTTCCACTTCTGCCTATGGGGACTCTGTGTAACCCTGAAACAAAACTCCTGACGGAGCATGCTAATTGCTTGGCTTTTTTCCCCCTCCACAAGACTTTCTATGCCCTGAAGACCTCTTCTGTTATGGGAGCCCATATCAGCCTGCAGTGATGCTATTTCCAAAGAGGAAAGGAGCCATGTACATTCCAGAACAGAGTTTTTTTTTCTGGCTTTCCTGACAGATATTCTTCTTGTCATCTGTTTGCATGGAAATGTCTTCAGGGCAGAAGGCTTCTGTGTTGCCGGTTCTACCGTGCATTCTGTTGGTATCTATCACACAAAAAAAGTTGTTTTTAATTAAGACAGGCTGAGCAGGGATGGTGCCCTATAGCTGCAGTGGGCACTGTGCCCAGGTGAGTGGGAGGTGAGACTGGCAGTCTGGAGACAAGCTGAGGATCTCAGAGGTCAAGCAGGGGATTTCTCTCCCTCACATTGGGTATTTACACCGTAAGCAACAGACCTCCTCCCTGTGCTCCTTTTATACTCCATAGATTCTTCCAGGCCACGGTTCATCCCTACCTAAAACGGGTGTTGGAAATACCAGATTCTTGACTTTGCAGCAGTTTTTATCTTTATAAAGGGAGTCTCAATATCAAGCTGGAGGTGCCTGAGCTGAAGGTCGTGAGATGAGTCTGATTCTAACTCACTTGGCCCTTCTCAGCTGCCATCTCCTATGGTGATGGTGGGGGTATATTTGAATTGGAAGCCTGTGAATGAAAAACAGTGCCAAACTTGTTTTATTTACAGTTACATTCAATTACAGGACCAGCTTTCCCAACATATAAAGATAAAACTTGCTCTCACTAGCATAATTTATACTGGTTCCCATAACCCAAGCATTTTTATGCCAGAACAACCACATACACCTCTGCTATGCAAGTACTTTAACATTTAAACGCCCCAGAACTGTCATTAAACATAACTTTCCCTATGTAACACTGCTCCACAAAAATCATTTCTAAAGGAGCTACACCCTAGGAAAGAGGACGAGATAGAAATCCCTGTTGGACCTCACAGAAGGAACATGCACCAGTACCTTGCTGGCACTTTTGTAGAAACCCCACCAGGTTAGGAAGCAAAATTAAATACAAAAAAGAAGCTATCCAGCTGTTCTCTGGCACAACACTGAGGGGATCAATGAGATAGAGCTGCTTTGATGGAAAAAAAAAGCTCAGTGCAGCACCACTGTCACTATATATTGATGCAGAGTGACCGCAGGGGTTGTCCATTTAACCAGCCTACCACTTTCAAAATGGGTGTTGGTGTGTGTCATTTCTGCTTTTGGAAAGCTCTGATGAATTATCTGAACAATCCCCCATAAGGATGCTGAAATTGTCTGAATAATCCTTCACAGGAACGCTGAATTCAGCTCAGCTACTGAAAAAAGTGACAGGAAATGTGGCCGTTCCAGGACCAGACACTCACAGGACACCAACTTGCTATTCAGGTCACAGACCCTGGGCAATATGGCAAATATGGCAACCTTGGCTTTGAAGGGCAAATGGAAAGCTGAACAGCAGATGGTTTGGTCAGTAAATACCCTCCAGCACCTCTAGGTTAAAAGGCACACAGCTTCTTTAGGAATAGGGCATGCCAGTAGGGAGTGGCTAATAACTTTGGTATGTTACTACAAGTTAAATATGATCATTGCAAAATAGGGAAAGTATATAGCTTTTTGGCAGAGATGGCCTTGGGAAGAAGGTTGTACTATGCAAGACTTTCAAGTTGTGCTTGGGAAGCCCTCTTCAGATGAGAAGAACGTGAGGCTGGGAGCTGCCTTTCAGAACTGAAACTGAAGGAGGAAGCCACAGAGAAAAGATGGGGAGATTAGGAAAAGGGAGTGACATGGGGAAGCTGGAAGGATCTGGAGGAGACTTGGAGGAGGGAAAAGCTGGAAAATCTGCTTTGTTTAGTCAGTGGACAAACAAGGCAGTTCCTCCATCAATAACAATTACTCACCTTTGACGCCCGGACCCCACATTGGCAAAGGGCTTAGTTGTGGTGACAGCAGCACCAACACCTCCCTTCAAAGTGCCAGTTCCAGAAGTGAAATTCCCAATCTCCATCTACACATCTACACACCCAATATGATCTACTGGCAGGAGCAGTCACACAAAAATGGGATTTGCCAGATTTGGCAGAAGTGACCAACAAGGAAAGCAAAGAAAAGAGCTCCCCTGCCGCCTTCAAAACAAGAGGCCATTTCCTTGCTTGACTTTTCATGTTGCTTGGTGCATCAATCGTGGGGACCGGAATGTTCACCAAAGACAAAGGAGACATGGAAGTGCCATCTCCAGCCTAGCAGAGATCAAGACAGCCTCTCCTTTCAAAGCACCCACATCAGCTGAATGGAAGGAAGTATTCCCCTGGTTGTCTTGACACCAGACCATTGGGCCATAAGCAGTGTAAGGCCCACGAGTCAGAAAAGACTACACAGCCCAGTAAAAAAGATATTCTCCTGGTAAGGTGTGAAGAAGAGGGCCCTTCAAGCAGCTATCCCCATCATTTGTGTATTTCCTCTAACCCTTTTGGAACAACAGTTTGCAAGTCTGAGGGACATATTAGTAACCCACAAAAAAGCCCAGTGTGAGGAGAAGAATATAAATGAAGCACTCAGGGATGTAAAACACTCAGTAGGCAACCAGAAGCCTAAGAGGCACTGGTAATGAGTGAGGGCTTTCCCCTCATCTCTCCATGAGCAACCAGACATGCAGGAAACGCACCCAGTGCAGTGTCTAGTTGAAGTGTCACTCACAGCACACAGAGGGCAAAAAGAAAATTCTGTTTAGCAAGCTTACTTTCACTTGCAAACTCTGCGTTGAGGTCCTATAATTGATGGTCTTTGGTTCTTTTGAAAACAGTTTCCCAGTGCTTGATGACAGTATGGGAGAGCTAAGAGAGTCACTTGTCGCATCACCGGCTCAGAGTTTGGTGCTTGGAAGATGGGCTCCAGTTTTCCTACCTGGAAAACTGAAGTACTACTAAGGCTTTGAGGTCTGCCCGTAAACAACGGCCCTGAGGCCTGTAACAACAAAAGTATGAAGAGATGCTCTAATAACAGAGATGCTAAACAGTATTATCACAGGTTGCATGATACGGTGTGCCATGATGTTTAAAATATAAAGAAAGAAAGTCTGCTCCATTGATATATTGCATCTGAGATTAGTAATCTGAGAAGCAAATGTATTCGGGTCTGCTGGCAGGCACCACGGAAGAGACATATAAGGCAAAGAACCTGCAGGCTTTCTAGTAACATTAATCTGCATTTATATAGCACATTTCTCTTGATGATCTTGAAAAATTTATTATCAAAGCTCTCACAATGCTCCTGTGGGCTAAAAACACAACACGATCTCTTTGTAATTGATGGGTAACATGGACTTAATCAAGAAAAAAAGAGCTGAAGGTCAAAGAGGGTGAATGACAAAGCTAGACAGCCTACCCTGCTAACCATCTTTCCCAGCACTAGTCTGAAGAAGCAGAAAGCAGGCAGGGAAGCACTGTTAATCAGAAGATCACACTGCAAGCCATTTCAGAGCAGTTACCTTGGCCAGTAACTATCAGCTGTGCTGCACAGCTTGTAGCAAAGATAGGCAGGCTGTTTCCTGTGCCAAGAGCTGACCTCTCAGGACAGCCCATTGAGCAGCACCCTGGGGAGCCCTGCCAGCCACCTCCACTCATGAACAACCACAGCATGGCTGCCTTCCTAAAGGCAGATGCAAGATTTTGTGTCCTGGCTTCCAATGACTTTGCTCCTTCCCACCATATGAGTACAGATGCATAATACACATTATGTCTGCTTCCCATTGGCAGATCCATGTATGAACTCCAAGCACAGAAGACCTGTGGCATCCACAGCCTACCTGAAATGGGTCTGTCAAAGCTAATCAAACCAGTCTCTTATCAGCAAGCTTCAGTTTCCTGCCAAGGAGGCTGAACAGCCACCTAAAGCGTTTTCAGAGCTCACAAATCAAGAAAGATTGAAAATCACTACTTCAGAAATTTCCCACCAAAAAGCTCATTCAGCCTCTCCTTCTCTGGGTGATGAGATGTGACAGGACCGTGCCCCAGGGCAGTACGGCTGCAGGCATAGAAGCCTTCTCACCAAGAGGTAGGATTCATCCACTGAGTAACTTCAAGAGTCTGACTTGATAGCGAGCCTCTGAGGGCTCAGAGAAGATGCAGCCACAGAGATGGAAGAGCAATTCAGAGTCATTTAGCGTCTTCCCTTGGAAAGTAATTTTCAGTAAGATGGAACAACTGTACTGAATCAACATAATGAAGATCCTTGCTGTACCACCCTTTATAATTCAGAACTCTACAGAGAAATATGTTTAAAACCACAGATCTGCAAGGTAAAAATGCTAAGTGATCGCATAGTTCCATAGGGTAAAATATCCCTCATGTTGCAATGCCAAGATACAGGTCTGTGTATGCATGCATGGGTGTATGCGTGCAAGCACACGTTACTTGTGACTCACTGGTTCACAGCACCCATGCCTGACAGAAAGGCTCAAAAATTCTCAAGCACCTTAAACTTCTGGGGAAACGGACAACAGTGCTGGAGAGCCACACTGCATCAGTGCCCTTGGTGAGGGAAAGGCCACTGGCACCTCATGGCTGCACCATCAAAGGCCAACATCAGAGATCCCTTGGACAGAACAGAAGGAAACCAGGCTTTGCTGGCTGCATGGCCGGTGGCATGGTTTGCTGCCCTCCCTGCAGTGTCACAGTGCCTCTGTTGCACCTGGAACCTGAGCCATCCTGATCTGGAGGGTTTGGAGGCTCTCGCCCAGCTCCAGCACTGACTGGCTAAGCCAGCCACTTCCCCCTGCACCTCTGCTTCCTCATCTTTGAAATGAGAATTATGACCTCTGTAAGACACTTTCATGTCCACATATGGAGCGTGCTGTGGCAAACAGACCTGTTCTCTCTATTTTAAATACCAGCTAATGTATTACCGTGTTGGTCTTTTTCCTTTTGTTTATTCACACTTGTTATTAAAAATGGAAATCAATGGACTACCTTGAAAGAAAAAAAAAAGGCACAAACAAATGCTTTGGATCCGCCTCCTCTTGTAAAGATAATTATGGGAGAGAAAGCAATTTTGAAACAATGGATGGCAAAGTGCAATGCTCAGAAACTATAGGGCACAATGTATTTCTCCAAGGCTACCACTGAAATCCACCCCACGGTTCACTGTTGCAATATTCCTGTTCTCTTCCCTTTTCCGAGCCATGTACAAAAACTTGCTTCCCAAATAAATTATTTAGCCCCTGACTGCTGCAATGCACAGCAGGACGCCTGTCAGAGCAAAGTGTTACTAATGGAGGATACCACACATGATCCAAAAGGGAAGATGAGTTCAGACTGCCACAACGCCTTGCTGAGAATACAGCAGAGGCAGTGAAACCCTCACTCGATCAGCCGCCCAGAGACACTGCAAAACCACACAGCACAGAGCAGAGTGTCTGCCTGTCTGTCCGTGCCTTCTCAGGAACAGCCTTCTTGTGCCAACAGCTGTGCCAAGTGAACTGGGATCACTCAAAGGCTCTGTTAGAGGATTGCAGGGCAGCCATCAGTCTCGTCTGTTCATTCAGACTTCTGGGACTCGGTCAGATGCTGACTCTGCTCCTCATGCACCCAAAGCAGCACACTGGTTTGGACCACCCAGTTATATCCAGCAAATCCACGGGGGCACTGCCCTGCCCACAATTTGCTTTGCATAAAACTTTAACTGCTGGGGCTGGCAGTTAAGTGTAAAGATGTGATTCTCACGTTCCAGGTTTCATTTGCAGAAAGCTCTGTAAAAACAGGATTAATAAGGTATGTCTATTGACTTATAAATGAACAACACTTTCTGTTGGTGCCTCTAAAATAGTCAACAGCCCCCACCCAGTCCTGCAGACCATGCAAAGTAACAGGAAGTCTCTATGAGATCGAGCAGTCACAAATAATTTAAAACACACAAAGAAAGACCTTCTGACATGCTGATACTTTTGATTAAAAGCCCCTTAGCAGACTTCTTCCACGTCCTCTGGAAGATGTGATGAGGATCATATGGATGATGATGTTCATATGGATCATGTTCATGAACCCTAAAGTGAGGGCACTTTAAATTCATGGGGTTGTCTTGGAAATGATGACATTTTAAAATACATATGCAGTGCTCCTTTCTGATGTTAGATTTCAGTTTTAGGAAAAACAGCCAATTCTCAAACCGCTTCCCATGTTCAGAAGATAAGGAAAAAAAAAAGCACGAATGAAAATTAAAAGCCAAGCATTTGGGAAATGGCAAAGAACTCAAAACTGAAACTGAAAGAAAAAAAGAGCTGACACCATGAGATTGGTGATAAAACAGCTGAATGCAGATAACACCAAGGAAGCACAGGACACAGCAGGAAAGACCAGCCTCCGAGTCACACAAACACAATGTCCTGTGGGGACGCTTCCAGCTCCTGCTGAGCCTCGCAGCATTAGCTCTGCCTGCCTCTGTTTGGACATTGATTCTCTGTAGAAAAGCAGAAAAACCCTGAATGTGAATGGCCTTCAACCCACAGCCAAGCTCTTATCTGACATACCTTTATGTATGTACCTTGGTTCCTGGTGCAGAATCCAGTAAACAGTCTGCAAGATAAATATTGCTGATAGACACAAGCTCTGCACCAGGGCACAGCAGTTGTGTGCAATCAAATGACTCACTCGGGCCAATCTCCTTACACACCGGTTTACTTGATCTCTGTTACTGAGAGGCCCAGAAAACTGAGTTTTCCACTGGACTTGTGCACAGCAAGAGACTTGAAGGGCAAGGCTCAGAGCAGAATTAATTCAGGAATTGACAAGAAGCAAGGAAGCCACACAAAATAAATGCCACGTTTTAACTTAAAGCTGTGAAATGATCTGTATAAACAGCAGACACTATGGACAGCCAGCTGAAAAGCGGTGCTGCTCCTGGTCCTGGATTTCCTCCTCCATCCACAAAGATGTGACGGCACTAACCTGTGAAAATGCATGGGTGTTTTACACGCCCTCCCCGCACTGTCTGAACTGATAACTGTCATCTGTGCTTCCTGTAGGTGAGCATGAGAGGGCAGGTTTATGAACATTTCTGCAGGGATGTGGCACCTCGCACTTCAGGCTCAATAAGCAGTGCCAGGGGAATCGCCTTGAGTCTCTTTGATGCTGCATGGCAAGAGAAGCCCCATGTCTCCCACTCTGCTCTTCAGCCCATTGCTGGCTTCCACCAAGACCCATCCTCTTCAAAGCTCTGCCCTGGGCTCCTACATAGGCAAATTTAAACAAGGTTGAGTTTGGATTCCGAGAACTCTGATAACTGCAGTGGCAAAGTCACCAAGCTCCCAAAAAAGTAACCCCTTATTTATCAGCACTGAGGTATTTCTGAAAGGAGAAACCCCTCTGGACTGTTTTGCACTTGGCTCAAGCCACTGAATCAAACTCACTGCCAGACTCTCCTGTATCACGTTGCTCAGCTCTGAAAGACTCTTAGAAAAATGAGGACTTTGGTGCTGTGCCACCCAGAAACCAAAGGAAGCTTCCACGAAACCAGCAAACACCTCTTACCAACATTGTTAAAAAAAAAACAAAGCAAATCAAAGAGGTTGTAAGAGGTTGTACAAGTCAGCCTATAAACCCAGGCGTGAGGAGAGCGGTGTCAGTGGTAATGGGGCAAGAAAGGCAGGGTAATTACACCACACCAAAATTGCAATCGTGCTGCATTCCTTCTTGGTGAAGGCCAGCTGAGAATTAGATACACCTCTTTAAATCATCACAGGGAGTGGCTGCAAGATACAAGGTGCTGGGATTAAGATGATGTTCTGGGTTTGCCAGTTCTCAGCAATGGCTTTGGTGGCTGGGCTGGGCACATCATTAGCTGTTCCCAAATGGTATTCGTACCGTGCCACTTCTTTTTAATCTTTATACATTTCTAAGTATTTCAGGAGTCTCAGGTTCCTACTGAGCAAAAGGTTGCACAAGCCCTGAACTGGATGGCAATGTCCGCCCATGAAGGTTTTTATATTTGGACAACAAGTCAGTCTCAGTGACACCTAAGTCGTAATTATTTCAGTGGAGCACAAATATTTATCACGTTGTCTCAGCTACCACCACCAGCCCTACAAGCTCAGCCCACGGCTGAGATGAGGCGGGCAGATCTCTTCAGCTGGAGAGGGCTTCCCTAGAAGAAGCCACAGCCATCACAGCAGCACTTGGGGGAAACGCAGCTCTGGATGCCTCACTCATCCCTGGTTTCAACGTCCTGGGCTGCTACAGGATGAGAAGAGAACCTGGCATAGAAACAGAAGCACACAGACCAGTCAGTGCCTGAAAAACACAGCAAGGTCCTCCCCCCTCATAGCTTCACACCACAGGTTGTTCCAGGCACTCCTTCCAAGGCCAACAGAACAAACACTGCATTTGTGCTCGCTTGTGGAAAATGCGCCAGAAAAGACAAACACGAGGCGAAGCAGCTAGCCAAATGGCCAAGTCCTGTCACTTAATTATTCCAAAATAAAAACAGTTACACAACAAAGACATAATAATAACGACCTCTCTCCTCGCAAGAACTCATGGCACAAAGGACAGGCTGGCCTGATTTTATGTCCTATAAACTTAATCTTATCCAGTGAAGTGGCTCCCTGTACAGCCGAGGAAAAGATGATGAGTTATGATAAGAGCTCTTTGGGCATCGTGCACCACTGTACGCCAACTAAAGATGAAAAAGCATATGGAGCTTTCTCTTCGCTCTTAGGCCAGTCACAAAACAGCACAGTGCAGCTGAGGGCAGAGGTGAGCAGCTCAAGGGAGCTGACAAAGCCATCAGGTTTATACCTCTGGTTCCTCGCTGTAGTGAACTCACAAATGCAGCTGGCTCACTATGGAAAGCCAACCATTTCTCACGTGTTTTGGCTGTTTATGGACTCAGTCTCCTGGCTGTATTTGAGAATCCATGTCCAATTTCCATGCGGTACGGCTGACACCCAATGTTTTGGCATGAAGAAAACGATCTGGTGGTTTTCCAAGGCCAAGACCTCAGCCACAAGGATCCTGCTCTTGCGTGCCCAGCTGTGCTGGTACAGTTGAAGAAGCCAGGGCTTCCATATGTGACATCCAAAGAGACTTACACGCAAACATAAGCTCTGATGAGGCACCTCCAGCTGGGCATCCGGAGATGAAAACATCCCCAAATTAGTGGACGCTACTGAAAAAGTAACCAAGCATCCGCACAATTGCACAATCTTCACTTACTCTCAGTAGCTTTTTATTTCTTGAATGGCATCACCTAGCGATTGGGAGCGTTTCCCAACAGATACGCTCGGTCATATTGAAACCCCAAGTATTGCAATGACTGAGCTTCTTCCACAGCACATTAGGAGTAATGAGTAATTAATCCTCACGGCGGCGGAGGGATGGACGGTGACATTCATCCACCCGGCCCGACGCGTAGGGCGGGAGGCAGGAGGCACGTGCACGGTGCCGCGTCACTTCGCCAGAAGGTCGTTCACGCCTCCAAATCCTAAATGCGAGGAAGCCAGACCAGACCCTCACCCCCAGGGCCCTAAGCCCATCGGCTGCACCACCACGGCGCTCCTTCGGGACGCGTCACTCGCGCTGCGGTGAAGGCGAGGGATTCCTCATCCCGCCGCGTCTCTCCGCCGCGCCGTCCCACGCGGCTCAGGACTCAGGACCGCTCCCCCTCGGAGCGCTCCCCATCCCGCCGCCCCCTCCCCGCCACGGCCTCCCCCGGCCCGGCGCCGCCCCCCGGCCGCCCCCTCTCCCCGCGGCTCCTCCTCGGCGGGGCCGAGACCCCGCGGGGCCGGGGCTGCGGCCGCCCCTCCCGCCCACCGGGCCGCGCCGCGCCGCGCCGCGGGGCAGAGCTGCGGAGCGGAGGAAGCCGCGGCATCCCCGCCCTGCCCGGCTCCCCGCAGGCCAGGGGCTGGGCTCTCCCCGCTCCCCGCCGGGCGAGGCAGCGCCGGCCACCTCCCCTTCTGCTCTTCCTCCTCCTCCTCCTCTCTGCCATCCTACTTCTGCGCCGGCACCTCTCCGGCTCCGCCGCTGCCCCCCGAGCCGCCGGGCTTCCCCCGGAGCCCAGCCCTACCCCGCCGCCCCCTCCCCGTCCCCGGCGCCGCCGCCGCTCGCACAAGATGGCGGGGACCGTGGCCGAGCGGGACGCGCTGGTGAGTGCCGCCGCGGTGCGGGGCTGGGGGAGCGGCGGGCACCTGCGGCGCGGAGGCGGGTGCTGCCGCTGCGGTGCTGCTGCCGTGCTGCTGCCCGGGGCGCTCACCTGCGGAGGGGAGAGGCGGGAGGCCGGGAGGGGCCCTGCTGCCTCTGCCTGCCTCAGCGCTCTGCTTTCTACCTGCAGAAAATAGAGGACGGGCATTTAAACAACTCCCTGGGATCCCCGGTTCAGGCTGATGTGTACTTCCCTCGGCTGGTAATTTTTTTTTTCTTGCTGCTTTCATTTTTGGACTGCTATTAACAACCTCCTCCATTCCCACCTTCCCCCCACCCCCAAACCCTCCCTCGTTCGGCTGCACAACCGAGTGACCCGCCGCCCCTCTCCTTGGCAGATCGTCCCCTTCTGTGGACACATCAAAGGAGGGATGCGGCCGGGGAAGAAGATCCTGGTGATGGGCATCGTGGACCTCAACCCCGAGAGGTGAAACCCGCCGGGCCCGGCCGGGGGGGTGGGAGCCCACCCGCACGCACACGCACACACACGGTCTCTCCTTTCTACAGAAGGATTATTTTTATCGCTTTAAATATAGCGTGCTGGTTTCTCCTTTGACCCATAGAGGGGGTATTTCTTTACCGGATCCCGTTTCCCAGCATTTCGCTTGAAGGAAAGGACTCGCGCTGGATCACATACGCACATATACATGCGGCACACGCACCTAGCTGTGTGCTGTAGCCGTGTCCTTTGCCCTGCGCAGCTCCTTGGGCATTCCCTGCATGAGCTCTGTGCTGCTGACGGTTTCAGTGCACTGAGAAACCAGCTGCGCTTGGGGTTTGTGTGCTGGTGTTCTGGCAGAATGAAAGCGGTTGTGTTTGCATTGCAGCTTTGGCATCAGCCTGACCTGTGGGGAGTCGGAGGATCCTCCTGCGGATGTGGCCATCGAGCTGAAAGCTGTATTCACAGACAGGCAGTTCATCAGAAACTCGTGTGTAGCTGGAGAATGGGGAGAAGAGCAGTCGTCTATTCCTTACTTCCCATTTATACCGGACCAGCCTTTTCGGGTGAGTGCGTGCCATCTCTGTTAGCATCCCCACACTTGCTTTTGGCTGCGGTGCTGATGGCCGAGTTGCTGCCATGGATCACACGCTGTGTTGTGCAGAGCCTGCTTCTGTGCTGCCTTGCACCTGCAGGCAGTTCCGATGGGGCCGTAAACACATCACAGGGTGTTATGACAAGTCGGAGGTTGTAATGCTGTGTGATGAAGCGTGCTTCCTGAGCTTAGTTTTATAGCTATAAATTAAAAAGTACCTCTATGTTATTACTGCATTTCAAGTTATTACTGGAGAATGTAAATACTCTGTGGGACTGCTGTGGGTTTGGATGATTTCTATAATGGACGTAGTGTTTGCAGTTTAGCGCAGTTAATGAGGATCTTGTTCATCCTTTTCCTCCAGGGATGTTATGCAGAGGCTGGCCGTAGCCCTTTGTGTCAGCAGATTAAATAGCTGAGCGATAGTGGTATTCTTCTCTGAACCCTGGGATTAAGTCTCCTGCCAAATTTAAGCCTACAGTCACTTGGAAATAGCATGCGTGGAAATCTCGTGTGCACGGGATGGACTGGGTTGACCTAGAAGCAGATTCCCATCTGTGGTGTTTATGGCTATGTGAAGATGTCTTTGCTAATCAGGACTAACAAAGTATGCAGCTGTAGAGGGCTGCTTCTCTCTTAGCAGTTTGACTACGTGAGAAAAAGGACTGCACGCCTTCTCTGTGCGGCTGACCCAGAAAAACCCTCCCGCTCCCCCCCACCCCTCTTATGAAACCTTGCTGGTCCCTTTGCTTAGTGCCACCATTCTGACCAGCTGCCAAACTCTCGTAATCCTTCTTCTCCCCAAGATAATCTCCCCCAACCCCAAAAGCTCACCGTCTCTCCAGAGGCTTGGGCTTTCAGAGAGTGTTTATGACAGGTTTTGCTGCCTATTGGTTGCGCTCTACTTGCTTCTACGATCTCCCCCGTCACAGCTGGCAACACCCTTTGGTGCACGTGGGAAATGCGCTTAGCAGGGCGTGGAGCCTTGGTCCTGCTTTGGCTATGAGGGATGGGCTGCCTGCTGCCATGGGAGTGACTGGGCACTGACAGGGCAGACAAATAGCCCTGAGTATGTTCTGCAGGTGTCCCACTGATGACAGCTGGCACCAGCAGACAGCAGTATTTTTCATTTAGTGTGAGATACTGTAGGAGTTCTTCATATATTTTTTTTCTTCCTTCTTATTTTTCCAAATGGAATTTGGGCTCCCAGTTACTTTGCATCTTTGATGGTCTCAGTGACTAAGTTAAACAGGAGTATTTAAGTGCTCTTGCCAATTACCTGTGATCCTGTTCAATTATCATTTTGGTATGGCCCAGGGTGGATTGTAAGCAGCGTTGAGGCTAACCGTATCTTTTACATAACAAGGCCTGGGGCTGGATGCACCTGCAGTGACACCAGAGCTGCGCAACAGCACGAGTGCTTCCCTGCTAACGTGGTGCACTACCAGGTTCCCATGGGCAGTGTGCTTCTACTGCCCCAGTATGACATGCCCTGAGTCAGATGTGCTTAGACTTGTTCAGTTTATCACTCACTTCTCTCCACACTACCAGCCTCAGAAATAACCTGGGTTTTACACATGGCTTCCCTGCAGATTTCCTTCTCAGCCTCTCTGGACCTGGAGAAAAAGCCCATAGAAAAAGCATATTTGGTGCCTTCACGTCTTGTCTTCTTGATGGGGCAGCTCTATCAAAGCTTATCTGCAAGGCATCAAGCCACCCTTAATATCAAGAATCTCTGGCTTTATCCAGAATGAGTGGTCCAGTTCTTCTCCTTGTGGCTTTTCCAGATTATTTCTCCAGGGCTGCAGGATGAGAGATGAGCTTTATCCTTCCCTGGTGCAGTCTGTGCTTCTGGTGGCTGTCTGACTGTAATCAAGCTATCCTGTGCTACGTCTCCCTCACTGCAGCCCCTCGTCCAACAGGCAGTTGGACTGTGTGCAGTCACCACAGCAAAAGCTTTTTAGTTGCACAGCAGCTGTGTATGTGCAGTTCTGGTGTGTGGGAGGGGAGGGCAAACCTATCCCTCTCATGTTTGCTTTCTTCCACTGAATTAATGGCAGTGTGGAAAATGTTGCAGAGGAAACTGCCCCCTCATTCTGCAGGGGGAAAAAAAACATCTGTAGCAAGGAATGCAAGATTTGGGTTGGATATACCTTTAATTAGCAGTTTGCTTCTGGCAGTATTCACAGAGAGAAAACCTCCTTGGTGCCAGCAGGACCATAATCTGCAGAGTTGTGCATCAGGGTTTGGGGCTTCTCCCCATTGTGACAGTGTGAGATTGGATTAACATCTCTGAGAAGTGAGAGCAGATCCCTTGTAGTGAAACTGGGGTCGTGGGGGCAAAGTGGGCTCAGCTTTCTCTGTGACATGGCGTGCAAGTAGCAAGATGTGTAGCCATACCAGTGCTGCTTAAAGGTGCTCTTTGCATCCTGTGAAAGATCTTCCCAGTTATGTTGTGAACATGGTTCATCATTTTATTTTTTACAGGTTGAGATACTTTGTGAGCATCCCCGTTTTAGAATATTTGTGGATGGACATCAGCTCTTTGATTTTTACCACCGTATTGAAACACTGTCAGCAATTGACACGATAAAGATAAATGGAGATCTTCAGCTTACAAAACTTGGCTGAACTTGTTAGAACTGTAGATTCCAAACCGGCTCAGGTGCCATCGTCTGTGTGGAGAAGTGACAGCCGGCTCTGGACACAACCATAGTAGGAAGGCTGTTCCTTCTCTGTGTGCAGTTCTTCACGCCTGTGCCGATGAACTGGGCTGTTGTCTAATTTAATGAAGAACATTGATGGTTAATAGACATCGAGCCATTTTTCTTTGATCAAAATAGCCCACTTGTGCTGGATAATCAATGGAATGGATTCGGAAAGACTTGCAGTCTTGTTTCAAATCTCACAGAAAGGCGATTTCTGAAACACAGCACTAAAATCAGTTACTGCACAGCAGTAACAACAACAAAAAAAGGTTTTTCTTTTGCAAATATTGTTTCTGCACTGAAGTGGAGTAGCGTAGCACAACGTAGGGCCACATGTTGACGTCCTTACCCGGGGCCTGAGCCTGGTTCCACGGAAATCAATGGCAAATCTGCTATTCACTTTATCGGGGTACAATCAAACTGTTTAGTCCTTAGTCAAGCACAATTCCCATTGATTTCTATGGGATTTTTGCACATGCCCAGGGGCGAGATCTGCTGCTGGTGTTGATCAGCTAACCTCCATGGCTTGCAGTGGCATCCTGCTGATTGCTCCCAGCTGCTGATTTTGTCCAAGGACTGTGCAAAAAACTGAATGAGGGTATGAGGACACTAGCCTGTATATTTTAGTCAGGGTATTTGCATAGAATGTAGATTGTTACAAGTTTTTGCACAACGTACTGTTAATACAATTTTTAAAGCTTATCTGTAGTTTATTTATTTATACTCATTGTATGTATTAGTAAAAACGAACAATCTTACTGATCGCTACGAACAGCAAAGTGTAAACATTTTGAATGTACAAAATGTCTTGGGTTCTTTGGGTAAACTCTACATATCGTTCTGGAAAATTCATGTTTCGTATTGAACATTGAGTTACATTTTAACGGAGCCCTCTGGGCCCTGGGAAAATGTGGGCATGGTACATGGTGGGAGCTTTTTGCATATATTCACTAAACTGTTTTTCAGGGCTTACTAACTTTGCTGTGCAGGATAGGTTTGAGTTAAAGTCAATCTGTTTTTAAAAATTAAACAGCAAATTTGTAGCTGTGCTTTTATAACTTGAGAAGAAGTAAAATTTGGCAGTCTCTTAGCTCAGCAAGAGAACTAGCCTCTTTCCAGGGGAGATGGGAGATGTTTTTTGCACTCGTTTGAGAACATATTCGGCCTTTGATATGACAATTAAAACTTGTCTAGACAGCCAAGTTATTAATGCTTGAAAATCATCTACTGCACATGAATAATAACTTTTCAAGTAGCTTTTTAACTAGTAGGTATAGCTGTATAAACAGAGTCATTGTGCTACACTATAAATGAACACAACCACTTTTCTTGACTTCTTTAGGAGTAAAAGCTCTTTTTCCTTGGCTGCTCACAGTAGACCACGGCAAGTCTTTCTGAGTAGTTATAATCATGATATAAACATATATTTAGGCAATTTTGAAGACATGTAATGTAGGGACACAGAATATAAAAGCATCATTTGTAGCACAGTATTAAAAAAAAAAAAGAGAGAAAAAATAATCTCACAAACAGAGCTTGCAATAAAGAAGTGTTTCAAAGCAACCAGAACTGGAATATCCAAAGTGAAGGGTAGAATGCCAGTTGCAAAGCCTCATTTTGTGCTAATTTGGCCTGCAGTTAAGAAGCCTTAGACTGCAAGCTGAAATTCCAGCTATGGCTCTAGTCCAAAGGCTGCTGAGGTCAACCAGAGTCCTCTGAGCACAAAGGCATAGAAGCCTGATTCTTACTTCACTCAAGTGCAGATCTCTCTGTGAAGCCAGGGGGTGCTGCTGTGAATGAGGTAAGAATTGGGTTCCCACCTACAAAATGAGTGAATAATGGAAATTTTAGCCTTAAGATTGAAGCCCCCTAACTTTTTTTCCTTTTTCAAAATTAAGTGAAAACCTGTTGTTTTCCAGATGGTCTTTTTATCTGGTGTATGGCTTCTAAGTTGTACATCAGATTCTGTTTGTACTTCGGATTGAATCTCAATATGAAATGTTCCTGTCTTGCTCTGTTTTTACTCTTCTCCATGATTCATGATGACTGTGTCATTTTTCATCGTATAAAGAATGCTGACAGTGTTTTGGTACAAAATATATTCTTAAAAATGGTGATAATAAAAATCCAAGGGAAAGGTGCTTCCACATGAGCTGTTCGGATTTTTCTCCAGCTTTGGAACAGTCTGTAGCTCCAAAGCAGATGCAAGCAGAAAATGAATTCTGTTTGGAGAGATGTTTGATGCCCACCCTGTCTAGTCCTTTCTCTAACTATACATGTGAAGCCATGTTTTGTGATGCAGAGCCATTGCCTGAGGCTGTCTTGCTACTCCAGAGGGCCACACAGTAGGAGGCTGGAAAGAGCAGCACTGTGACCCTGCAGTAGCACAAAACCCAAAAAGATCTGACAGCACAAGGCCAATAGAGATTCCTGCTCCATGCCTTTGCTGTAGCCCAGAATAAGGGGGTTTGGCTGACTTGAATTTTCAGCCACTTGAGACTCCAGGTAGCTGCAGTAGCTTAGTGCAGCCCTCAGATTTTTCATGACCTGTACGGTCTTGGCGCAGCTCAGAGTGTAGGCCGAGGATGCTGAGATGAACTCTACAGAGGTCTCTGTCAGCAGCAAAGACCTGGTGATAACCATCCTGCCTATTTTCCCACCTGCTGTACCAGAACTAGTTGGTTCCTGCTCCAGTAGTCATCTGGTTCAGCAAAATGCTATTTGGAACCTCGTTCTTGTTTTGCCTAACTCAACTGACTGTGGCACCCACCGCCTGCTTCTGCCCCATCGTGGTATCTGAGCAGGGCTTAGAGGCAAAAAGAGCTGTAAATCCACTTTTGCTGGGCCGTGGTTTGGCTGAGAGCTCAAGAAAGGGCAGAAAGTCACATTTAGAGTTTCCACATCTATTTGTGTGTTTAACAGAATGTTGGAAGCCTTTTTCTTTTGCTCTTGGGCAGTACCAGGAAGGATGATGGCTCTGTAACCAAGGGCTGTCCCACGTGTTGTTGGTTTACTTGGCTAACTGCATTCAGAAGCTGGTGCAGTGCAGGTCAGAGAAAACTTGGGCCTTAAATGTTTCTGTTCAGTTAGACTTTGAGCTAAACCCAAATGTTTAAGATGGGAGACTGCTGTAAAATTTATATCTGAATTCTGTCTCCAGAATTTAGGGATTACACACGTTCGTTTGGGGTATAAGCCCTACTAGACATGAAATCAGACTGTTTCCAAACTGGGACAGTCATTGGGTTTTCAAAATGCTTTTCAGTAGGCAGTAGTAGTCTGTGAACTACTTGGAAGCTGCAGTTCCTCAGGAGCAAGTGTGTGTGTTAGCCCACTTTTGAGATCTTCTGCTAGGATCTATGAGCTAAATATTTCTGCAGTTTCCTCTAAATGAGGAAATTATTTCTGAAATGAAAGAAGTCTTGAATGGGTAAAAGGTTTGCAGTGTAATCCCTCAACTTAGCATAGCTTTATTATTTTTTCCAAAAAGGAAAAAAACAAAAAAAAATACCAAAAATATCCATCCCTGAATTACACAGTTAAATTTGGAATTGGCTGTGATAAAGCTGATGGTTTTTTCTTCCTCTCCTCTCCTCTCCTCTCCTCTCCTCTCCTCTCCTCTCCTCTCCTCTCCTCTCCTCTCCTCTCCTCTCCTCTCCTCTCCTCTCCTCTCCTCTCCTCTCCTCTCCTCTCCTCTCCTCTCCTCTCCTCTCCTCTCCTCTCCTCTCCTCTCCTCTCGAAATATGAGTTTATTGACTACTCAGAAAGAGCCTTGAAATATGCTGGGTGATGTGAGGCAGTCTGTCTAAACATATTTCACATAAATGCTTTTTCACAGTCAAGTTGTAAAAATGTTACAAAACACCTTCTTTTTGTGGCACAACTAGAAATGGTTGCCCCACCTTGAAAGAACATTTTGTCCTAAATATTCATGTGTTGTCTCTGTGAACTTGCACTAACATATATTATATTCTCCCTCCCCTCCTTGACTAGCTTGAGAAAAAATAGGCGTAATATTGCTAAACCGGTTGAATGTAACATCTGCTTGAGGCACAGCATCTTTCTCAAGGGCTGTTTTGAGTAAACAGCCTGAAAACCAAAGAGAGAGCCTGATTCACCATAATGCTGTGCCAGCTTTCCACCCTTGTCACTCTCCTGAAGTGAGGCTGAGACTGAAACCCTGAGATTTTCATGTGAGAGAGCAGCACTGAGATTTTATCTTCTGGATTTAAAAACATTCACTATGGAGGAAATGAGAACAGAGTAGCCACAGCACTTCCAAGCTTGCTACTGGTGGTGTTGTAGCGTGATGTACTGTAGTCCTAATGGAACATGAGTTTAGAGAGAGGTACTGGGCATTTCAGAGGCCACCAAGGGCCCAGTTCTGCAGAGCCAGTAGTGGAGGCTCTGAGCAGCCTTCCAGCACCCTAGAATGGAGATGACAGTGTGAGCAGGCAGAGTCAAGCTGAGGGCTGACCTAAATGCTCACCATGACAAGTACAGAAGTTTCAAAGAAAAGCTTTTTATATGTCCACCGAAGTCTAGGACTATGCAGTGTAGTGCTGAAATCTGTGGTCATTCTAGGCTTTGTTCTAATTTTCTCTCATGGATCAGAAAATGTACAGGTAAAAGTTGCTGTACGGTGCGTGGGGTTAAAATGAAGGCCAACCCAAATGGGGAGAAAAAATGAGCTACTGACGCTTTATCTGGCTTTGATACACCCTCCCAGCTCCTCCCAGCAATCACTGCTGTTACAAATATGCACAATTACTATAACAAGGAGATTCAGCAGCATGTGCAAGATCAAAATAATAAACTCATGCTTTGCCGTGGGACTTCCTTAGCTTCTGTTGCTAGGCCTTTCCATCTGTCTGTCAACAAATAGCTAAATCCTGCTGCCTTTAATGTTCATGGCAAAACGCCTTTTGACTTCCATGAGAATATGTCTGTAAGAAAAGGGGTAATTCCAGCCCTCTCAGCTGGGGAATACTCTAACAATCTGTTCTTTCCTTTTCCTGAATTTAAGCATCAATAGAGGACTATTTCTGTCTGCGTTATTTGCTCGAGTAGAATCAATAGAAAGCACGGTCTCTCCCAGCTGCAGAAACACTGGCTTCGCAGTTGGCTGATGAAATGTTTTATGTTCATTATCTTCTGATTTTAAAAAGTGAGGATGTGCACGAAATGACGTGGCAATAATGTAATGTGTACCGTTCACCACAGATCTATTTTTATGTGTTGTGCCAATTTCATAATGAACTTTTAATAACAATAAAATGTAAAATCTTCACTGCGGTTTCATTTGGTCTTTTATAACAATTGTTAATACTTGTTACACGCCCAATTTACTCCCTTTGCCTTCTGAGTGTTTTTCAGACATAGCTAATTCTTCCTCTAATAAAGCTGTAGTGTGGCAGTTTGGAATTAGAAGTGTTTCTTTGGTAGCAGGTTGTGTAAAACTCCTTCAAAATTTAAACAGTCTATATAGAATAATCAAATAACTATTTTAGAGGAAAGAATAACTTGCTTACTCATGCCAAATACTCACTGACATCACTGGGCAGTGTAAAGTGCAGGAGTTAACAGGCATGTCTCAGAACAGGACAGGACATGAGACTCAGACAGCTGATGACTTTTGATGGCATAAAAGCCTCTCTCTGCAGCATAACTGCAGACAAGATTCGTGGATATGTGGTGAGCAAAACCACAACATCAGCTCCAGAAAGGTGGTATTATGGGATCCAGTGTTTCACTTGTTGATGTGATCCTAGATGAAGCTCACGTTAAAATCATTAAGTGCAAGAGGAAGCTTCAAGATCTCAGCTTCTTCAAGTTAAAGCTTTTGGGAAAACTAGAATCATCTAAGGAAAAGATTATGCCCTCCATCAAGCTGTGACTGTAAGAATTAAGCTAGATTTCTGAGAGAGACCTCAATATCCAAAGAGCACTGAAGTAGCAGATGAGCAACATTTGACTACCACCAGCTGCATTTTTTTTTCCCAATAAAATGATAAGGAATCAGATGTTCGCCAAAACTTGGATCTGTGGCCATTCTTGCTCACAGGCAGCCTGATATTGGTCCTTTGTTGCTACACACAATCCTAAAAAGAGGTATGTTAAGAACTCTAGAGAATACAAGATTCAAATAGTATTAAATACAAACCAGAAATAAGGGGAACAGACAGAAATACAACAGGCAGAAATCTGTATGGCATCAAAAAGGAACACTGACTTGGTTCTGAGCCAGCAGGAATTTCCCAGTAACCATGATGAATTTAAGACAAGATTTTACATTAGCAAGTGTCTCCAGTAGCCCCACTATAGTCTCAGACTTCATCTTTCCTTCACAGGAGTGGGGGTGGCAATGCTGCAAATACATACATTCACCTTCTTTTCCCTCAGACCCCCTCTGAGTCAGGAGTCTTGGCAGGATCTGTGCTCTGTGACTCCAGCCAGCCCATGGCAGGGGGGTTGGAACTGGGTAGGTTTTAATGTCCCTTCCAACCCATGACTTTCTATGATGATTCTATGTCCCAAAGAGTTCTGGTATAGGTTGAGTGTGAGCCCCAAGCCTCCACTGCTACATAAGTTCACACCCATTTGATATCTTAAGGCATGGGTATGTTAGAAAGGCTTCTGCACAAGATTCGGAGACTTGGCAGAGCACCCACCTCGTGTAAAGGCAGCATTGAGTCCCTGCCAGACAGCAGAACAGCAGCAAAGTGTCTGGGCGAATTTCCAAAAGGGGTGTACATATACCAATGTCACTGCTTGCATTGGCTAAACCTTACAGAGACCCTTGAAAAGCTCTCTCCTTGATCTGTAATACTGAGTAAACTCCAGGCATCAGCTCTGAGTACCTGTTGCAACAAATGCCATGGGCACTTCTCTCCCATTCAGATCTGCACTGTGTATAAATCACAATTGGGCCTTATTTTGGTGGAGTGTTTCTGATCTTGAAGCCAAGTCAATTTGTGCTGAGGGATTTACTCACAGGAATACCACAAATACAACTCTGCTAGCACTGAGGTGTATCTTATTTTTAAATGATGACATTCGCCATTCTTCTAAGAATAGAGACTGGCTCCAAATCATCTCGTCAGCTTCAGCATTCTCCAAGGGTTACATATTTCTCATCCTGTTCAGGTTTTAAAGCTTCAGTTTCCACACTGCTGCCTTCCTAGACCAGGGCTGTGATGCAAGATGGGCCATTTTGTGAAAAACACTGAGAAGGATGTGTCTTTCAGCAGCTCTCTATGCAGCCAGCTGCAGGAGATGCACAAGTCAGCCTTGGCCCTCTGAAGAGATGATGAAACAGAGCTGTGTTGATACGTGGCTTGCAGAACAGGGCTTCCTTATGACTCAGAAAGATATGAACAAAAGCCAGATAAATTTAGGAAAAACATCACAGAAGCTGAAGAGCAAAGAGGAGGATTTTAGTACTAAACAATCTGATATTAACAGCAGAGAGATTCTCCCTTGGTGCTCCAGAGGCTGTGGGCTGGTGTAGCTCCAACTGAGCAGAGCCAAAGCTCTGTGCAGTGCAGCAGGCTGCCACCAAGTGCTGATGGAGATACCAGAAGTTTTTGAGATGTGCTTTGTCTGGCCCCCAAAGCCCTTGTGTAGGGAAAAAAAAAGCCAATGCTGACAGTACTGTTATGTATGACAAGCTACAATAGCTGTTCTAGACTGGAGACTGGAGAGGCAAAGAGGATTCTTTCTTGGCTGCTCTCTCAGAAATTTTGTTTAATGGGAAAAAAAATCACTTTCTAGAAAAGAGTCAGACCAGAACTAAGGATAGAATATGGTTATTGGTAGAAGAAACATTCTTTGGTAAGTAGTAGATTAGTTACAATCTCCTGAGGAAAACAAAATATTTAAAAGTAGAAGGGCCACATCAACAACAACATAATTCCTTTCATGCTCCAGCTTTATAAGAAAGACACAAAGAGCTTCAACAACTAAAATACAGACCCTGAGGGGCAAAGCTGGGAGAAACTCTGGATTACTGAATGGATGTAGAACACAGCTTCCACATCCATTCCCCATCATTTTCACTGCCTTTTCTCAGAGGTGGCAGTTCCACTCTGTGAGAACCATTGCTGGAAACCTCACAGCCATAGCATAGGACTGCAGATCCTTACTGCACAGCTTTATGCATCCTTTACAGACACCAATGTGTTTATTTAGCAACACTGACTGAAGAACTTCAAAGAGCTGACAGACTTGACAATTCACATTAACTCCTGAATGCTCCTTGCCATCTCTAGTATTACTGCTGTCATTCTCTTGGCACGGAGACTTAACAGACTTTCTCAGAGATCAGTGCTGTAACTTGAAATACGTGGATCTGTACATACCTAATGTTACATTGCTTTGATTTCTGGCTACAACAGGGAAGTGTTGCTCCTAGGTCCTCTCTTCACCCATCAGGCAGACACACTCTTTTGTGCCAAATACACAACAGTAAGGTGAATAATGCCATACACAACTTCTGAGATGAGATGGGTTATCCGTAATGCAAAATCTTTCCAAAACTTGGGGTTTTTTTTAATGGTAAAGATTGAGTGGCATTATACTATTTTTTGCAGTCTGCACTGCCTCACAGTGCTTTTGCCTGCCATTTAAATAATGCAGAAGAGAGACTGCAACATGATGAAGATCAGGTTTCTTAGCAGGCAGTTGTTCGCTGAACCTTCAGCTCAAAAAATGATGTGCAGACATTTTTCCCTACACAAAACACAGCATCACATCCTGTGATGCAAGCAGGTATTTCTCTTACTGATTCTGGTGGAAGTACACTGATTTATGGCAACTGAGCACCTACTAAAGAATAAACTTGCATAGGATTCCACAGTTAACGTGTCTTCTTCAAATGGTGCTCTCAGAAAAGATAACAGGATTCTAATTAGCAGGTGCAAAGAGAAGTGCATAATCATTTTAACGCATTGTACAGCTGAAGCTGTGATAATGCAGGCTAAAAGATGATGCTTTTCAGTGAAGGGAATCAGTTGTAATTTTGCTTTTATGTATTGATTACCTTCCTCCTGTCACTGGTAGCTAGGGAACATGACACATTATCTCACGCTGCATATTGGAGAGCAGAAGAGATTGTATTCTGTATATTGTATGTTGCATTTTTTATAAATCGATTCCTACAGTGTGATGGTACCAGTTGGAAGATCATACCTGTGCATATTAAAATGTCAGCACATTAATTACTGGATAGTGCCAGCAGTCATTTCACTGTCTGGGGTGGGAGGAAGGGGCAGAAATGAACAGCTCCAAAGTTCAGCAACTGACAAGAGCAATGTTTTTACCTCTAAGAGTATCCTCTGAAAGCTGCATGGCTCATACTGGCTTGTGTGGACAGGAAGCAAGTAAGAAGAAAAACTTCACTTTCCAGGATGAAGAGCTGATGCATTTACAGACCAAAGTGTCCATCTCTCTCCTGCCTTGCCTGGTCCTGTAATGCATGGAATTACATCTCTGTCAGTAAAGAGAACAGATAGTCATCTACAGACATTCTTCAGGGGTTCAGTCCTAAGTCTCTGCTGCTGGTGAACAGTGTTTGCAGTGCCAGTGCTGCACAACTGCTCACTTAATCCCAATCACCAAATCGAGACTGGGAGGTGATCAGGAGCTGCCTGTGCAAAGTAGGTGTGCAGCAGCATCTGTTAGGAATTTATGTGTCCTGTAAAGCATTTATATGTCTTGTAAAACAGAAGAGATTGTTTAAGACTGTCTTGAAACAATATCAGCTGGGTTAATAGTCCTCTCATCAGGCTGTTTTAGGCAGAACTTGCATAGGACCGACCAAAGTCTGAACGTTTCTAGTAAAAATCAACCCAAGTGTCTCTAAGTAGAGCACAGCCCAGGTTCACTTGCAGAAGAAATAACTAATGCACACTTGAAGCATTCAGCAGTCAATTCAAGTAGGTGACAGAATGCCAGAAATTTCCTTCTACATTCAAATATCCATCCTCTGTTAGTTTTCAGCCACATCACAACCCGTGTCCATGGTCAGGTCATAGACTGTCACACAAATTCAACACAAATAGACCAGGGATCACAGACCATCACAGGAAGACAGTGACTATTCCTCTTGATACAGCTGGTAGCTCAAACAGTTCACAATCATTTGGCTACATTAACTGCAATGAGGATGCTATCACAGAGTTATAGCACAACTTCTGGCAAACAGATTTTGTTTTCAATTCCTTTTAAGTAGAGTTGGTTTAAAACCTATTTGGTACTCTTGAATTTTATATATTTATTGTTGTAATAGGACAACAGGTGTTGGGGGCTATGAGATGCTTGGTCTTTTCCAAAACCCTAAGTTGACATATTCTGGTACTGCTCATGAATGGCAATATACTTCATGCAAAGAAAACTCTGCCCAACTAGTGTACTGCCATTCTTCCATCTTTCAATAGGTGGGTGAGTAAACAGAAGACGCTAAGCTACTTTTACAGTACCATTTAGCTTTCCCTACACTTTCACCATGTTTATTACCACCTTCCTAAAGGTACATAGCTCTTTTCAGCCTAATAACCAAATATCAGACGGGAAATTTTCTAAATTGTTTTAGCATGTTGCTTCAATCCACACTTTGAGAATTAACAGTCACCATATCTCAAGTACATTGTAGGTGGTGGCATATTGCCTAACATCCTGATGTGAATGTGAGATAAAGGCCTATTCCAGGGGGTGTAGTGCAACACGAAACCCAAGTGTACAGACTTTGTAGATCAAGTTTTATCTTAATTTCAAAAAGCCTCTAATTATGCTCAAATATGTTATTTCAGGCATTCCAACATCTGGCCTTCAGGAAACCCCACAGGTAACTGCAGTCAACGATTCTATGTCATTCTCTCTTTGCAAGGGATTTTAGACGCTGAATCTATACAGCCATGGCACCTAACCAAATGGACTTCCACCTCAGGCTGTTTCCATGCTTTTGGCTTCCTCTATGTTCAAGCTACCTAGCTGTCTTATTTTACCTGCAGTGCTGGAAGGGAGGAAGAAGATTTGGCCTCTAAGAGCATACTGATTCACAAGGAACATGCTGTTCTAGGGAGGGCACAACAGGAAGAAATGTCCTTCATGGCTTTCAGGGTGTTGTCAGCTAGGTTTCAAATATGAGGCCACAGTTCTTACTTCCAGAGACTGTCACCCATTTCCAGCACGTAGGAGCTCCACTTGGTTAAGAACTCAAGCAGCTCCAAAGGAAAATTCTGAACATCTTCACAGGTGAACTTCCTTATACGGCCATGAAGCCATGGGTTGTGATGGTTGGCATGCAGATACATATCAGCATGCCAAAACTTCCACAGCAACATGTAACTAGTATACACAAACACAATTACACATACATTTATTGGGAGAAGGTAGTAGAATGATTCAAACATGTGTCAACAGCTTCCCAGGGTGAGGATTTAAAAGAGCTATTTGGTGCAATAAAGACTGATGCTTAATACACAGTTTTCCACAGGCTGCTTTTTTGCTTAGGCCAGCTGACTGGCTACATTAGTGGGAAAACTGGAAGCCTTTTAAAGGGTGAGTAGTAGCTGAAACTGCGGGGGCATTCACGCCACCTTCTGCAGCGTCTAACTTCAGCTGCAGTAAGTGAGTCTGGTCTCTGTGGATTTCCTATACAGGCAGTGGAAAGAGAGGCACTCCTCCAGAGGATGATTTATCAGTGATTATTCCAATGCCCTGAATGGTCTTCCAGAGGAGTTAGCTCTAGTGTGTACAAAGGGCCCCCAAAGACGTTTGCCTTCTACCAAACACCCAAGTGTGGATACCTGCCTGATCTCCGTTCACAAGCACACATATCCTGTGTTTGAGGTCAAAAAAAAAAAAAAAAAAAAAGAAAGCAACATAAGACAGCAACATAAGACAGATACAAGACTTCTTCAGCATCTGTTAATAGGAAGGAAACTACCACCCTGAGAGAGAGAACAACAACAAAGGCTTTCAGTGCTGAAGGCAGAGGGGTTTGCATCACCCACACCATAAAGAAGACATTTGCAATTCTGCTTCCAGAGGGGTTCACCTGTCCTGCCAGGCTTAGTAAGAGCTCTAAATAAAAAGCTATAGTGGTGGAGGTGCTTGGGGCAGCATCTGCACTACATCCCTCTTCAACATCCCATGAGTAATGCAATCATCTTCTACATGTAGGAATAGGAAGCACAATACAATCCAACAACTGGGAATGCTAAATAATGTGAAAAGTGCTCTATAAACATGTAACCTTTTTTTGCTTTCGTAACTTTCCATATTGCTTAAAGCAGAGTTTCCTACTAGCTAGATTCAAAGTAATTAATGGTTACCAGAGCTTTCAGAGGCTTTCAACAAGATCCTTCCTGGATTGCCAAAAATAGGTCACAATAAGAAAAAACTGTGTGCCTCTCCTTCCATCGAAAGGAAAATCAGATAAAGCAGAATTGTATTTCAAGAGGGCAGATTTTTGCTCTGATTGAACAGGGAAATTTTTTATCCCAGTCATTTTTGAGTTTTCAGCAGCAGCACCTTCTCAGAAAGGGAGCTATTGAGAAGCCTTTGGCTGATGGGTTGCAAGCAGCACAGGGAATGTTGACGTCGTAGTATTCAGCCCTCATTTCTGGGTGGTCTCCTACTCCTAACAAGAAGAAAAAAATGTAGGGATCTGGATTCAACCTTCCTGGTGCTTTACTGATGTCGAGGAAGTTACAGTAGTGGACAAATCTGACCTGAACAGTTTGGGATCAGCAGTTTTATACGTAGTTTGACTTCTATCACTGCAAAATGTCTGAATGCCAGAGATGGTTGAGTGATCGCTGGCTGCACCAATCTGTAAGTCTGACGGACACGTGTTTTGGAGTGCTTTATCAAAAGGTATGAACTCAAGGTATTGAGTGCCCTCCTCCATCTGTGGGAATGAGACAGAAATAATTTGCTTGGCTCAGCCTCAGCTAGCACCAACGCTATGATGTATGTGAACATGCTCACCCTCCCATAAAGTTGCAAACTCTACAAAGGAGAGAGAACGGGCAGACTGCCTGAAAACAGAAAAGGGAACAGGCCCGTGCCGCTACACAGAGATAACAGCCCTCCAGCTGCTTATTCAGCCTCAGTCAGAATACATTCAATTCTGTGAATCTGCCAGCAGCCAGGGAAAAACCATGGGCATGAAAGCCCTTGCTCAGCAGATGCAGGACACATGCTTTTTGTTTTCTAAGACAATATTATTTTTTATATGCAGTCTCAGGCAAACTCAGGAGTTTTGACGTGTCCTTACGCTCTTCAAATTCCTCGTCTGCTCTGCCTAGCTAAAGACTGAGCAAGGCTTCAGGAATATCCTGTGAAGGAGCTTTATACAAGGGCAGCCCATTAACTTTATGAGACCATATACCAAAAGCCTCAGAGAAAGCAATCTTCATGCAGACAAAAATATTAATCACCACAGAACAGGCATCACGTTATTATTACTTTTTTTTTTTTTGCCCTTTATGAGAAAAGTGTAAATGCATGCAGGATGCAAACATTTCAGCTTTCACTACTGTTTCTCTATTTTGCCAAAAGAGCAATTTAGTCCACACAGTCCTTCAGGAGATCCCTCCCTTCTAACAATCTTGGCAAAACAGCAGTTCTGTTTCTTCATACTTGAGTGATACCAGTGCAATGGGAAACAGGAACAGCACCGTTGTGCACTGGAGGAGGCCACATGGTGGTGGCGATCTTTGATTTCTGGGACATGAAATGGTTGGATTCAAAATCAAGGTACTCAATCTCTAGAAAGAATGATGGGAACAAAACAAGTACTCAAAAGCTCACATAAATGTTGTCCATTTCCCATACATCAGCAGTATCTGCTACAGCTGCAGAGATCATATTCTGTTCTTCACGGGGTTCACATTCACTACCAGAATCACTGCCTATGACTCTCAAGGGAAACTTGGAGGCTGCAGTGGAGCCTTACTTTGGGCCTACGCTAGACTGAGGCCCAACACAGCTCTGACCTACTGCCATCTGCCTCCTTGCATCGGTCCCTGTGTAGGAAAAGGTCCAGCCTGTCCCAAGGGCCTGACACTTTCCACACATGAAGCTTTTCCATAGGCAGAATGAGTGTCAAGAAACTGCAGATGTAAATTTGTAATGCTGCTCTGTCTACACAATCAGAAGTGAAAACCTTACCACATATACTGCATGGGGCCCTGAGGCACGCTTGTAGCTGTGTAATGCTGGCATAATGCACAATAACAGGGCAACAATAAGGTGGTAATTGTGAAGGGAGAAAAAAACTATGATCCACTCTTAACTCAATTGAAGGCACCACAATAGCTTGCACATAACAGAATCTGACTCAGGAGAAACTGGTCCAGCTCTGTAAAAGCAAACCAGCCTTAAAGCAAACCTAAGAATACAGTGACTCCTTGTCAGACTTAGCAGAGGGTTAGTGTCCTGGGCTTTCTAGGTAGCACAAAGGTGTAGTTCTGTCTGCCCTCATCTCTATCAGATTGAGAGGCTCTCCAGAGAAGTGGCCCAGCTATATAAATAGTCAGCCAAGGCCAGAGATGTGCGAGCAACATGGATCTCTCTAATGCATAGCCTGTAGGGTAATTTAAGAGTCGTCGTGGCGTAGAACTGCAGAGTGGAAAAATCTCGGTGTAACGTGCTGTCAGACCGCATCTGACGATGTTTATATAGAGGAAAAAAGATCAGAAGCCTCAAAACTTTGCAGCCAGGAAGCAGACGCCCCATCCACCTTAGAGCAGCTGGCTACAGACAAGAGGTTAACAAGTCAGTTTGTAACAGCTACCCCAGCAGGTTCAGTTTACATGTTCCTCATCCCTACAGCGACCCCGCATAAGGACATCTGATAGCAATTGAGCCACATCAGCACAGCTCAGATTAAATGATCCCAGAAGGTACAAGAGGACGTGCTAGAGGGGGAGCAGTCACGTGCTGAAATGTCTATGTTATTTTTGAACGAAAGCTGGTTTGCATCCTACCACCTCTTCAAACAAGCAAAGGCAGCATCTGACTGGCAGGAGAGCTCTGCTGTACCCCTGAAACTCCTTTCTGCTCCACCACTTGAGGAACTAGTTGCTCAAAGAAGTGCAAATGATCTCACAAGATACAACATTTCATAAGCAAGCTAGACTGCTGAGAAGACAGAAGTTTGATTTTTGGAGATAGCTACATTACTAACAAGGGTCATGCATCTTGGCTTCTCCACAGAGGAGTTTTTATTGGAAATTCCACCCAATATGGAATAAACAGTGAGACGCTGAGATATGCTCTTGCCCAGGGGATTTCTTGGCAAAGGAGACAAGCCCCTCGGCAGCAGAATATGGATAAATATGGATAAAATATGGATTGTAGCCAAATTTGGATATAATTATATCTGCACTGATCATATAACATTCCTCAACTGGGCAACTGGATCAATGCCATTTGCATGCAAACTGATTGTGTGTCGCCATCAGTCTTTCATGTAAATCCACTGAACTGCTGACTTACATCTGACCAAGTAGACAACAAATACCCTGTGGCCTATGTTATAAACAGTTCCATAAATGCAAGAAAATTGAGACAAAATTGCTCCTTTGGAGTATTTCACAATCAGCATGCATTAGGAAGACAAATTTTGGCTCTTCATGCTGTTTGGAGCCACATTTCCAACTCAGTAGCAGTGGATATGCAGAAGAACAGAGGCATGAGAATTCCTCAACATCTACATTGGATACGTCAGATCCCAGTTAGGCCAGATGAAGGCACAGAGCCCAGTCTACTACTCTGAAAATAGCTCTCTTTCGGCTACAGTGGGAATCTAGCCTCTTTCCAACAAAGGATAGACTATATAAACTTATAGAATTATTACGCTTGTTAAAATATTTTAGTTCATTGCTTACAAAATGAAAACCATGAGCCAAATTCACCAGTAACTCAAATCTGTTGGCTACAATAGCATTAGAGAAAGAGTGGCTGTAGCTCATTGCTCTAAGATGCACATACATCTCCCTTGAAATAACGTAGGCTGCACTTAGATTGAGTGTGGTGCAGAGACAAAGGGAAGCACATTCTGGCAAGGATGCCTCCAGAGCACATCAGTGACACCATTGAAGCCCGCTGGGATTGTATTTGTTTACTAGAACCAAGGAGCTAGCTCTGAGAAAGCACCCTTTTCCCAGGGCTGAAATGCACTTATCATAATTTAAGAGAAAGTTCCTACAGAAGCGCCTGGTGAATGTTAAGATGACTCAGGCACTTATTCTCATCTTTCACAGCTCTTCTTGCAGCAAGAGCTGGTCCAGCCACTCTCAAGAGGTCTCCCTGTCACCCTGCATATTGAAGGCTGCAGGGGTGGGCTTCTCATCTCCAGGCTGTTTTTGTGCTTAACTTTGTCACCGCGCTGTTCCCTTCACACACCAGCTCTCAGTGCACCCTTCTGCCTGTAACTTCCCACAGTCTGCTCCCACTATTGACCTTGTTTGTGCCCTTTTCTTGCCATAGATATGAAGAATTCAATTTCACTTTTTTCTGTTTGTGAAAAAATGATGGGACATCATAGAGATCAACATTCCCCTCTGGGTGAATCTTGTAAGCAATTAATCTCACTACTTAAGGCCACTTGATCTAGAACAAGCTGGAAGACTGACTGCAACACTTGGCTCTTCCCTGCCATGGCACATTATTTTAAGTCACCAGCAAAGAGGGCTTTTTGCAAACACATTCTGCATTGGAGTCATTGAGACACAGGAACCACTTCTGCCTCCATAGAGGAGCAATAAAATCAACTAAGAACATCCCAAACTACCATGACACACCCCAAAGACACATGCTAGGGTCTCAGTCTTGCAGAGCAAGTCTCACTATAACTGCTGGTGCAGCCTAAGGCCCTTATTTGCAGTACTCCAACAAAACCGGGGCAGACAAACTTCTTGTTAGCATTCAAAAGCAGACTGGCTGATTGGAACATGGCATATTCTTTTAGGTTTTGTCTTGCTATTCATTATTTCCCTATGACAAAAATTCTGTCAGTTAGGATCACCTTTCACAAATCTCATGTATTTCTATGTATGAAATTCCCAGCAAACAATCCTGTTATTATGAGATCTGCCCCTGCTACGTGCCAACCTTCCAGATGTGTTGCAACTCAATGAACAGCGATCAAAAAAGCAAACCCACTGCATAAAGGTACAAGGATAGAGTTAACATATGTGATACTGGAAACAAACATCAGACTTGAGCTTGACAGCAAGAAAGATTTTGACAAATATTTGGAGGACCTGTTCTTCTTCCATGGAAACTGAATTTTTGAGATAGCAGTTCTGATTAACCCAGAAAAAACTTGGTCACTTCCATTTTAATAGCTGGAATGTAATTCTCTTTCCACTTACACTAATAGACACAGTGGACTTCCAGGGACACAACATTGGTTCATGGAGAAAACTTGTCCAAAGCATCTGAATTTCACTAACTGAATTGATATGCATCTGAAAAGACCTTGTGCAATTACGAAAAGATATTACAGGTGGTCTTATTAAGTACAGGAACAGCAATATATTTTTTAAAAGCAGTGCAGAGGTATATTTCAATATTCCTAAATATTTAAGGAAAGGTAAAATGCCTTTGGAAATGAAGAGGTCTGAAAAT